TGTCCAAGCTTAGACACGTAGGGCGTAGGGCACGTAGCCCCCGTTTCTGTTCTCTCCTCCTCCTCCTCCTCCTCCTCCTCGACGACCTCCTCCCATTGTAGTTACCCAATAAACTTACGCCACCCTATGGTATGTTAATTTTGTGGTTTTGCCCCTGAAAAGCTGTGTGAGATAGCTGCTCTGGGCTCCTCTCGCTTGCTTGCTGCTTGCAGCAGCAGGGGGCCCATTTGCGCAAATGAAATAAAAATTACCTCCTGCTCTATTGCATCGTCTGGTCTGGAGTCTGTGTTTCTGGGGTCGTCACAAGAGGACACCGCTTTTGGGGTCCTACACCCCCAAGCCAGTAACTGGGTCCCTGCCACCCATGCGGGAGACCTGGGCGGAGTTCCCAGCTCCTGGCTTCATTACCCAGCCCACCCTGGGGCATTTGGGGAGTGAACCAGTGGACGCAAGCATGGGCTCTCTCGCTCTGCCTGGTTGGGGGGGACAGGAGAGGTGTGGGCTGACCCCCAGGGAAGGGTGTTGCCTGCCGACCCCACAGGAAGGGCCAGGGTCTGAGAAACCTCAGCGGGGCGTCCCTGCACCCCCACTCTGGCTGCCCTGGCCGCGATGGCCGCAGGAGGCTGGAGCCTCACCGGAGGCGCCCTCTCCTGTCCTCCCCAGCTCCGCCGCCCAGGTCCAGGGGCCCGCATCCCTCGCTTCCTAGAAATGTGGATGGCAGGTGGGGCCTGCAGCGCTCACCTCCGCTAAGAAAGCCCGGGTGCCCAGGGAGGCGCTGAGGCTCCCGCCCAGCCCCGGACCCGGCCACTCGCGGCCCTGAGAACTGGCGTTTCTAGGCAATGCGGGTGCTGGCCGGGGCGCCCTATGCAGCCTATCCTGGGGGCTTCCCTGCCAAGTCCCTCTCCAGAGCACCACCCAGGCCGCTGGCGGCCCCTTCTGGCCACACGTGGTATAGCAGAGGCTGCTGGGCAGGCAGGGGCTGGGCCTGGGGCTGGAGCAGGCCTCCCATACAGCCACAAGCACAGGTGTCCGAAAGCCTCTGCTGGGACTTGGAAGAAGACAGGCCCCGGCCCACGAGGGCTGAGTCTTCCTGGGGAGGCCACATCATGTGAGGGACACTATCATCACACAGCCTAAACCCCCCCGACACCGAGCCATTGACTCTGACGCTCTGAGCACGACACCGCTTGCCCATTTTCCAAGTCAACCCTGAACCCCTCAAGAAGCAGGTCATGGGGGCTGGCGTTGTGGTGCAGCGAGTCAAGCTGCCACCTGCGGCACTGGCATCTGGTATGGGCACAGGTTCCAGTCCCGGCTGCTCCACTTCTGACCCAAGCTCCCTACCATGTCTGGGAAAGCAGTGGAAGACGGCCCAAGTGCGTGGGCCACTGCACCCAGGGGAAGCTCCAGGCTCCTGGCTTCAGCCTAGCCTGGCCCAGGGTCATTGCGGCCATTTGGGGAGTGAAACAGCAGATGGAAGATCTCTCTGTCTCTAACTCTGCCCTTCCAATATTTTTAGAAAAAAAAAAAAGCCGGCGCCACGGCTCACTAGGCTAATCCTCCGCCTTGCGGCGCCGGCACACCAGGTTCTAGTCCCGGTCGGGGCGCCGGATTCTGTCCCGGTTGCCCCCCTTCCAGGCCAGCTCTCTGCTGTGGCCAGGGAGTGCAGTGGAGGATGGCCCAAGTGCTTGGGCCCTGCACCCCATGGGAGACCAGGAGAAGCACCTGGCTCCTGCCATCGGATCAGCGTGGTACGCCGGCCGCAGCAGCCATTGGGGGGTGAACCAACAGCAAAGGAAGACCTTTCTCTGTCTCTCTGTCCACTCTGTCAAAAAAAATAAATAAATAAATAAAAAAGGTCAGGTCATCACCTTCTGTAAAGGCTCAGGTGGGCAACTCCTCACCCTGGTCCGGGCGCAAGGCCACAGAGCACGCACACAGCAGTGAGTGTGGCTACACCCCCGCTGCTCTTGGGCCCTGAAATTTGAATTTCATAGGATTTCTTGAAAGATCCTAATAACCTGTGCTCCTCTAAACATTCACTTCCCGAGCACTCACAGCTGGGCCTGCTGGTCAGACGAGGGAGGCTCCAGGTGGAGGGAGGAGGACGGAGACAAAGATCCAGGGAGAAGGGGGGAGCCCAGCACCCAGCCCAGGTCTCCCACATAGGGGGCGGGGCCCGCACACCTGAGCCGTCACCTGCTGCCTCCCAGGCTGCGTTACAGGGAGCTGGACCAGACAGGGCTCTAGATACGGGATGCGGCCATCTCCAGTGGCTGGCATCTGGATTTCTGAGCCACACGCCGGTGCCCACGCATGTTTTTTTCTGTGTGAAATGGTCTAATACACCAAGAAGAGCTCCCTGAAATGTCCCGCGTCCTAGCCAGCCGCCTTCAGCGCCAAGGGCCTCTTAGAGATAAGCCCAGCGCCTTCTCGGTAAGAACTGAGCACCAGCTGCTGGGGGCAGCGGGGAGTGGCCCCCTCTGGAGTGAGCCAGCGTCCCATCATGGTGCTGGCTGCAGACCTGAGATCAAAAGCCGCAGGGCTGACCCTGGAGTGGCTGAACGGCACGGCCATGTTTCACCTCGCACATCCTCTCCTTGCACCTGCTTGCTCTGCACCTCCGCCCCAGGTCACGATGCGGAAACTGAGGCCAGGAGAGGCAGGCCCCACGGTCAGGTGGTCAGGTCACTTCTGCCTCGGGCTTCTGTCCCTTTAGGGTCGCAGGTGTCTGCAGCCGGAAGGCCTCAGGTTTCACTACCCTCCCCATCTCGCTGGAGCCCCGCCTAGAGGGGGCGGGGTCAGAGCCCTGTGTAGAGCAATGGGTTCAAGTAGCTTCCCGCCACCGCAAGGGGAGCCCCTCCACACAGGGAAGTGCTTAGTCCCAAGAGGCTGAGTCACCCCGTCTCACTGCTGCAGCCACAGGGCTGGGGCCATTAGAAGCCCTGAGCTGTCATCCGGACATCCAGCACTGGCCACCCAATCACAGCTAACATCGCAACAGCCAGGCAGCACACAGGCCCGAGGACAGCAACACTCGTCCAGCTCCTGCTGCCCACAGGGCCAGCTCTCGGGCCGGATCGGGGCCCCGGCACAGCCGGCAGGCGCCAGTCAGGCTTGTCCACTGCATGTGAGCAGTGAAGCGTGACTCTCCATAGACATGCCTGGGGCTTGCACAGACCAGGAACACGTCCCATTGAAGACAAGTGTGTCCAGGCATTGGTGTTTGGGATCACAACGCACACTGCGTGCTAAAAACCACTGAACTTGTCAGGAGCCCAACCCACCCGGTCCCAAATGCCTGAACATCTCTCCGTGCTACCTAGTTTAAAACTGCAGGCTCCCAGGGCTGGCATGGCACAGCAAGTAAAGCCACTGGTTCCAGTCCTGGCTGCCCTGCTTCCAATCCAGCTCCCGGCTGATGCACCTGGGAAAGCAGCGGGGGATGGCCCAAGTGCTTGGGCCCCTGCACCCACATGGGAGACTTGGAAGAAGCTCCTGGCTCAGGACCAGCCCAGCTTTGGCCTTTGCGGCCTTTTAGGTGGAAGCTCTCTCTCCCTCTGGCTTTTGAATAAATAAATCTTAAAATAAAAACCGCAGGCACCCAGTGCCCCTACCCCAAGGCAGATGAAGTCCAAGAGCCTGCAACCAGGATACAGGGCAATCCTGACCCAGCACCGGGCCATGTCCTGCGGGTCCTGGGCAGCTGGTCCTGGAGGACAGCAGGAGCCAGGACTGCACCTTCCCTCGGGAGGCTGTCCTCCCACCTGGGAGCCCCCCCCCCCTTTTAAGATTTATTTATTTGAAAGAGTACAGAGGGAGGAGAGGCAGAGAGGTCATCCATCCGTTGGTTCACTTCCCAATTGGCTGCAATAGCTGGAGCTGTGCAGGACCCAGGAGCTTCCTCCAAGTCTCCCAAGCAGGTGCAGGGGCCCAAGGACCTGGGCCATCTTCTACTGCTTTCCCAGGCCACAGCAGAGAGCTGGATGGGAAGTGGAGCTGCAGGGACTAGAACCAGCGTCCATATGGGATGCCAGCACTGCAGGCAGCTTTACCCACTGTGCCACAGCGCCACCCCTGGGAGTCTCTTGAAACACAGCTGCCTGACCCAAACCAGCTCAGCCAAGCGCCTCTGAGAGGGCAGAGCAGCTAGGTTCTCGCCTCGGCTCAAATCCACTTCCCACAAACACACACCTATGAGTACCCCACCCCTGAAGGCCTCCTGCTAAGGGCCTGCACCTTGCAGCGGAGCCTGCTCTGAGCCGCAGAAAGGAACCCCAAGGACAGGAGGCAGCAGCAGCGCGGGGCAGAGCATCACCCTTAGCCCTGGCTGCCCCTTCCCTGACCGCGGCCGTTCTAACCCTCAGGGCTGCCCACACACCTGCTCTGTAGGAGAAAGGCGAGTGAGCTCCACCAGCAGGGGCCTGCTCCCCACCCAGCCCCCAAGGCTGACAGGGCAGCCGCTCACTGAGGAATGGCTGCGCTGGACAACGAGTCCTCAGAGGCCCAGGGCACGTGGACAGGTGGGTAGGAACTGAGTGAGCATAGACAGGGACCAACCTGAGCCATCCAGGCCCACAGGTAGCTGGCTGGCCGGGGGCAGCCTCAGCTGGGAAGCCCAGCCTGGCTGCAGGGCCCTGGGCAGGTGCTCGGGGCACTGCCTTCCAGGTGCACCTGCGACTCCTGCCGGAGCCAGAAGCCCCTTCCCCAGAACTGAAGGCAAACGGACGCGGCGCTCACCAACCAGCCGCTTCTCCCAAGCCAAGAGGCACATTTTACCAGACAAGGAACTGGCCTAAGGATGGCTTCAGTCGGCCTAGCACTGTGCAGTGTCCCAATTCAAGACTTTGAGATGCTTGTACTAAAAACCATTCATTTCCCTTCCAACGTTGAAGGAGTCTGGTTGGCAGAATTCTCCCATCATGGAGCTAACGGAGTCAGCTGGCCGGCTTCCTCCGGCACCTGACAACACGGCGCGGGCTTAGTTAACTGCACTGAGGTTCATGACTCGCATTTATTAGCGTTAGGCAACAATAATTTAAAAGACAGAAAGGGCTCCACGTTACAGGAATTTTTATAATTGATCGTTTATACAGCAAATGATGGAAACAGCAATGCACAACACCATCAGCCACCAATCACCCGGCTCCCAGCTCCCCTTCACCTCCCAAACATCTCGGCTGCTTCTCCCCTAACAGGAGGCCAGATTCAAGCCAGCTGTCACCCACGTTCATGCTTCCCCCTGGGACGTCCACTTCTCCGGAACGTGTGAATAGCTCCTATTTTCTGAAGGTTTAGGACCCGCCAGGTGACAATCGTACTTAGGTGGCTGCTGGTTACACTGAGTCATTTTCACTAAGCATAAACTTCAAGATGACATGGGGTGATTTTCAAAGCATGAACCACAGGTGAGACCTAAAAGGACATACGTAGTACCCATACCCTAACTCAAGCCACATAGTAAATAGGAACGGACTAAGTCAGCAGTACCTACTGACACAAGCAAAATCACAAACAGCCTCCAGGGGAGCCGGTTCAGCCCCGGTCTCACCAGTGAACAGGAGCAAGACCTTCGTCCTCGAACAAAACCCGCCTATCAGGAGATTCACAATGCTACCTTAGACCCCCCCAAAGAGGCCCTGCAAGGACCTTCTCCTACGAGCAAAGCTAGAACACTTGGAGAGCCGCCTGTGCCCCTCCACAGGCTGAGGGGGCAGGCAGTCCCCCGCCACGCCCCGCTGCACAGGAGCCCTGCTTCCTCAGGGGCATCGCAGACCGAGGCGTGAGGACCACCTTAAGTTCATTAGGTGCCTCAATTCATTCACGAGGTCAGAAATGACAGATTTAGCTTTAGTCGCTCAGTAAGTAAATTTTGAATTGGTTCCCATTAGTGGTAAACATAAGACTTTGTACGCGGGAGAAACCGAGCTGGCCAGGCGTTCCCGACAGCACAACGTCTGTGTAAAGTGCTGGCTTCAAATGCAAGCTGCTCAAGTAAACCCTGGAATCTGCTTTGAAGCAGCGAGGCCGACACCCTGCACCTGTCTGTGGCAGCCACTGTGGGGCGTCCTACTGGCGGGCTGGCTGAGGGTCCCCCCGCGAGGGCAGACTGCCTCTCCTAAGTGTCCAGGTCGCTTTTGCCGAAGCGTGCTTCCTGGAAGACAGCACCGGCACTATGAAAGAGCACACTGAGGTAGCTACAGACGCCAGGCACTAACACTAGGACAGTTCGTGGTGCAGCTCGGGACGCTTTTCCGAATCTTTTTTTTCTCAGGAGGGGAAAACTAAGAGCGCATCCTCGCGGTTCGCTTAGAAGTCGGCATCCAGGGTAAAGGAGTTCTCGGTCGGGCTCGACATCACCCCCATCCTCTGATACTCGCCCACTCTCTTCTCAAAGAAGTTGGTCTTCCCTTCCAGTGAAATGTTCTCCATGAAGTCAAACGGGTTCTCCACTCTGAACACCTGGAACGGCGCAGGGCGAGTTAGACCCAGAACGCCGGTCCCGAGACCGGGAGGCTCCCAGCCGCACCTTACCTTGCTAAAGCCGAGCTCCAGCAGGAGCCTGTCGGCCACGAACTCGATGTACTGCTTCATCAAGGCGCAGTTCATGCCGATGAGCTTCACGGGCAAGGCCTCGGTGAGGAACTCCTGCGGGCCAACACAGCTTCCCGTTAGGACGAGCGCCTCGCTCGCGGCCTTCTGGAGCCCGGGGTGGGGGGCCCACGCGTACCACGCACCTGCTCTATCCTCACAGCGTTGACGATGATCTCCTGGACTCTCTGCTCCGACGGCTTGTGGACCAGGTGCTTGAACATCAGGCAGGCAAAGTCGCAGTGCAAACCCTGGGGAAGAAATTAAACTCAAGACCACTCCGAAGCCAGAAGACCCCTACCAGAGCGGAACGGAGTTTTACAGTCCAGCCTGAAGAGCAACACGCATGTATAAATATAGGGAACACATGTCAGCAAGTTAAAGGGCTTCATTTTTTGCTGAATAAGTATGTGGACACGGGGCCGGCACTGCCGTGCACGGGGTTAACCCGCTGGCTGCAACACCGGCATCCCATATGGGCACCAGCTCGTCCTGGCTGCTCCGCTTCTGCTCCAGTTCCTGCTAGTGCGCCTGGGAAGGCAGCAGCAGGTGCCTAAGTTCTGGGGCCCCTGCACTCACACGGGAGACCAGAGTTCTGAGTCCTGGTTTTGACCTGGCCCGGCCCCAGCAGACACCGGGAAGTTAAATCAGCAGATGGAAGACCTCTCTAACTCTGCCCTTCAAATAAGTAAATCTTAATAAACAGGAAATAAACAAACGTGGATATGGAGCCATGAGACCTGTGTGCCTCTCAGAACCGCAGGTGTTCAGGGTGCAGCCTGAGACTGGACTCACCTCATCCCTGCTAATAAGTTCATTGGAGAACGTAAGCCCGGGCATCAGTCCTCGTTTCTTGAGCCAGAAAATCGACGCAAAAGAACCAGAGAAGAAGATGCCTTCCACCGCAGCAAAGGCTACGACGCGTTCTCCTGTCCGAGAGTTTCCAGTGAGTCACGGCATTCCCAGGGAAACCCGCAGTGTCATTACCGGGAACACGCGCTCTGGTCTAAGGTGGCCACGGGCAAGCTTACCGTAGGTCGCCTCTTTGTCCCCAATCCAACGCAAGGCCCAATCCGCCTTCTTCTTGACACAAGGCATCGTCTCAATGGCATTAAAGAGAAATTCCCTAGGAGGCGTAGACAGCATCAGTATTTAGGTCAAAGACCTCCAATTCCCAAAACTTCTAAATAACAGCACCGGATTGAAAGCCAAGTTCAACTATCTGTCAGCTCTCTCCCCAAAAGAACTCAGAATGAACTGTTTTCTTTTCACTATTTAGCTTTTCCCTTGAATATTACTTTTAAAAAGAGTTGACAGGCAGAGTTATAGAGGAGAGATGGTAGAGGTTGAGATCGCCCATCCACCAGTTCACTCCCCAAATGGCTGCAATGGCCGGGACTGTGCCAGGCCAAAGCCTGGAGCCAGGAGCTTCTTCTGGGTCTCCCACGAGGGTGCAGGGACCCAAGTACCTGGGCCATCCTTCGCTGCTTTCCCAGGCCACAGCAGAGCTGGACTGGAGGTGGAGCAGTCAGGGCTTGAACCAACACCTATATGGGATCCCGGCACTGCAGGCCACAGCTTAACCGGCTGTGCCACAGCATTGGCCCCTGAATATTACTTTTAAAAATCTCAATATTTGAGGGTCGGCACTGTGGTGCAGCGGATTAATGCCCTGGCATGAAGCGAAGGCATCCCATATATGGGCGCCGGTTCTAGTCCCGGCTGCTCCTCTTCAGATCCAGCTCTCTGCTCTGGCCTGGGAAAGCAGTAGAAGATGGCCCAAGTCCTGGCTGGGCCCCTGCACTGTGTGGGAAACCTGGAAGAAGCTCCTGGCTTCAGATCAGCACAGCTCCGGCTGTTGCGGCCAATTGGGGAGTGAACCAGCGGATGGAAGATCTCTCTGCCTCTCCAATAAATAAATAAATCTTAAAAACAAAAAAACAAGCCAGTGCTGCGGCTCAATAGGCTAATCCTCCACCTAGCGGCGCCGACACACCGGGTTCTAGTCCCGGTTGGGGCACCGGATTCTGTCCCGGTTGCCCCCCTTCCAGGCCAGCTCTCTGCTATGGCCTGGGAGTGCAGTGGAGGATGGCCCAAAAGTCCTTGGGCCCTGCACCCCATGGGAGACCAGAAGCACCTGGCTCCTGCCTTCGAATCAGCACAGCGCGCCGGCCGCGGCAGCCATTGGAGGGTGAACCAACGGCAAAAAGGAAGACCTTTCTGTCTCTCAGTGTCCACTCTGCCTGTAAAAAAAAACTCAATATTTGGGGCCAGTGTTGTGGCAGAGCAGGCAAAGCCTTAGCCTGTGACACCAGCACCCATATGGGCATAGGCTTGAGTCTTGGCTGCTCCACTTCCAATCCAGCTCCCAGCTAATGTGCCTGGGGAAGCAGCAGCAGACCACCCAAGTGTTTGGGCCCCGGCACCCATGTTGGGAGACCTGGGAGAAGCTCCTGGCTTGGGTCTGGCCCAGTCCTAGCCATTGCAGATATTTGGGGAATGAACCAGCAGATGAAGATCTCTTGTGGTCTCTCTGTAATCTTGCCTTTCAAATAAATCTTTTTTTTTTTTTTTGACAGGCAGAGTGGACAGTGAGAGAGAGAGACAGAGAGAAAGGTCTTCCTTTGCCGTTGGTTCACCCTCCAATTGCCGCCGCGGCCGGCGCGCTGCGGCCGGCGCACCGCGCTGATCCAATGGCAGGAGCCAGGAGCCAGGTGCTTCTCCTGGTCTCCCATGGGGTGCAGGGCCCAAGCACTTGGGCCATCCTCCACTGCACTCCCTGGCCACAGCAGAGAACTGGCCTGGAAGAGGGGCAACCGGGACAGAATCCGGCGCCCCGACCGGGACTAGAACCCGGGGTGCCGGCGCCGCTAGGCGGAGGATTAGCCTAGTGAGCAGCGGCGCCAGCCTCAAATAAATCTTAAAAAAAAAAACAAAAAACCTCAACATTTGATTTAGGCTGATGAGGGCAACTTTAGATATTCTTCAGCTCATATTGAAGTCCAAGGCCAACACAACTATTCTATGCTGGGGCTTAACTGGCATAATTATTTCAAGTCAGATCAGTTCATGGGCCGACCTTTTCCAGTTCTTTGAAGAACCACAGTCTTCACTGCTCTGCAGGCCACTGTCCGACACTGCCCCACAGACGAGCACTGGGGCACTAACTGGGCCACAAGTACATTAAGCCAACAGAACAAGCGGATAATTCTGCTATGCTGCTCGCTCCAGGGCAGGAAACCACCCTCAACGGGGTCTTCCTCACTCCCACCTCTGCTGCCCCTTGATCCTGGTGCCTGGACCGGGAAGATCTCCCAACCTGCTCCACCCGATGACCTTGCTTTCTGCAGCCAGCCAAGGTCATCAGACATGGAGCTTCCCCCTTCAGTGCTGTCCTCTCGGCCTCACCTGGCTTCTGGCGCCAATCAACCTTCCTGACCCAGCCCCTCTGGGGCCGCACCCCTAGTCATGCCCTGACCCACACAGCCCCATCTTTTACCCCGAAGTCTCTCAAGCCCCCCTTCTTCCAAGCCATCCCCAGCAGCCAGGTAGCTCCAGCGTCGCCACTCCCCTCCCGCGCGAGGCTCCTGGTCTGAGGTCACCCTCCCCATTTCCCCTGCTCTCCCAAGCACCTCCGACAGCAGCTACCATCTCAGCCTCCGTAGCTACACGAATCTCCAGGTCATGGCTGCCTCTACACTACGTGATCCCAGACACTCTGGGCCCTAGTTCCTGCGCTAGATTTAGATTGCAAGCTGCTCGGGGACAAATCACGTGCTACTTGGGGTCCACTCCCCCACCCGACCCTGTCCCGCATGCAGGTTCTGGACAGATTTGCCACACGAATACTGTCAGACCCAGGTTTTGGTTCATCACACCCAACCTCTAGGGTTCTCTTCCGAAAGGAATTAGATTGTCCGAGACACCTCTGGGCACCTGAAGCTCACCTTTCCTTGGGATCTTTAATGTACGTGTCAATCAGGAGGCTGTACATCTCGGAGTGTATGTTTTCCATGGCGATTTGGAAGCCGTAGAAACAGCGGGCTTCAGTGATCTGAACCTCCTGGCTGAACCGCTCCACCTAGTGGCAAAACAGCAGCGTAAGAAAACCTGCGTGCGCTCTCCTCACACCCTGACTGGGTGGCGTCTACACCCCTTAACACGCAGCACCGATCTGGGACAAAGCTTGGCATCTCACGGCATGTGCTCCATTTACAGACCAGGAAGCAGCTCCACCGAGTGAACGCACTGCTCCTACCATGAGCTTTTTTTTTTTCTGACAGGCGGAGTGGACAGTGAGACAGAGACAGAGAGAAAGGTCTTCCTTTTGCCGTTGCTTCACCCTCCAGTGGCCGCCACGGCCGGTGCACCGCGCTGATCCGAAGGCAGGAGCCAGGTGCTTCTCCTGGTCTCCCATGGGGTGCAGGGCCCAAGCACCTGGGCCATCCTCCACTGCACTCCCGGGCCACAGCAGAGGGCTGGCCTGAAAGAGGGGCAACCGGGACAGAATCCGGCGCCCCGACCGGGACTAGAACCCGGTGTGCCGGCGCCGCAAGGCGGAGGATTAGCCTAGTGAGCTTCTTTAAGGTCAGGAAGGAAAACAGCTTAAGAGGTAACCACCACAGGGACGGCGAGGCAGGAAATGCCGTGATACAAGCAGTCGCTTATGGCTCAGTGCACACTCGGTCCAGGAAAAAAAACTAAGTGAGGAAAGAGAACCAGTTCTACCTTGAATGTTTATGTGAATTCCAGGCGGACGGGGTACTCACCAGGTTCTCATTGACGATGCCGTCGCTTGCCGCAAAGAAAGCCAGCACGTGGGATATGAAGTATCTCTCCTCCTCCTTCAGGGCTTCCCAGTGCTGGATGTCCTTGGAGAGGTCCACCTGAAATTTCAAACGCCCGCGATTTCAGCAGAGGGAAGGGCCGGCAGCTCACACCCCGCCCTGTGTTCCCTCCGCCGGCGCCGGGTCCCCCGGCCGGCAGCACCCAGCACCCTCGGTGGGGTGGGGGGTGGGGGGTCAGATGCTAAGTGCACTTCGGTCCAAGTCCAAGTCCAAGCCCCAGCGTGGCGTCCTCCCAGGGCCAGGTGCCGAAGGCGCTCACCTCCTCCGCGGTCCAAAAGGACGCCTCGGCTTTCTTGTACATGTTCCAGATGTCGTGGTACTCGATGGGGAAGATCACGAAGCGGCGCGGGTTCTCCCGCAGCAGGGGCTCGTCCTCCACGCCAGCGGCAGGCGCCGGGGACTTCTGTAGGGGGAGAGGGAAGAAAAAAAGCTAAGTGCAGGCCGAAGTCGACGAACCCGCCTCTTCCCTCGATCCGCCGAGCCGGGTCGGCCGTCGCCCTGGGCCCCGCGGTGGGGGAGGGGGCCCCCGGGAGGGCCCGCTTTGGCGGGAAAGCGGCGGGGGGGCGGGGAGCGCGCGAGTCAGCTGAGCGGACAAAGCGGCTTTGGCGCCAAGCACGGGCTCCCCCTGCGGGCAGCCCCGCGGGCCCCGCCCCGCCACTCACCGGCTCCGCGGGCTCCTGGAAGATCCTCCTGGCGGTCTTGCTGGCCAGCACGCGGGTCCCGCTGAGGCTCGGGGGCTGCGGAGAGACGCGTGTCAGGGGCCGGCAGGCCCTCCCCGCACCGCCCCGCCCGGCCCCGCACCGCGGCCCGGCGCTCACCGTGTTCTCCTTGTCGGCGAGGCTGAGCCCCTTCAGCGGCGACAGCTGCAGCTGCTGCTGGTCGGCGAGGGTGGCGAGCGGGACGCGGACGGAGAGCATGGCGGAGACCGAGGCGGCGAGAGCGAGGAGCGAGGAGCGGAGAGGTGCAACCCGGACGCGGCGCGAGAGCGACTGCCGGCGGCCCGGGCCCGCGGCCTTTATATGCGCGCGTGCCGGAGGGGCGGGGGCCCGGCGCTCGGCCCTTCCCATTGGTTGCCCCCGGCCAGGCCCCGCCCCGCGGCGCGGCGCGCGGGAGATTCAAGCGCCGCGCGGGAGCTCCCTCCGCGCCTCCCGGGGCTGCGGGGCGTGGGCTCCCCGCGCGGTCGCGCCAGGGCTGCGCACGGCCGCCATCTGGGTCCCTGGGGCGGGGGTGCCATCCCGGGATCTGCCCTGCCTGCGGGTCTGGGCTCACCGCACGGCCGCCATCTGGGTCCCTGGGGCGGGGATGCCAGCCCCCGGGATCTGCCCTGCCTGCCGGCCTGGGCTCACCGCGCGGCCGCCATCTGGGTCCCTGGGGCGGGGGTGCCATCCCGGGATCTGTTCTATCTGCGGGGCCGGGCACGCCGGGCCTGGGCTCCTCGCGCGGTCGGCACCAGGGCTGCGCACGGCCGCCATCTGGGTCCCTGGGGCGGGGTGCCAGGCCCCGGGATCTGTCCTATCTGCGGGGCCCGGGCACGCCGGGCCTGGGCTCCCCGCGCAGCCGCCATCTGCGTCCCTGGGGCGGGGGTGCCATCCCGGGATCTGTTCTATCTGCGGGGTCCGGGCACGCCGGGCCTGGGCTCCTCGCGCGGTCGGCACCAGGGCTGCGGCACGGCCGCCATCTGGTGTCATCCCGGGATCTGCCCTGCCTGCGGGCCTGGGCTCCCGGCACGGCCGCCATCTGGGTTCCTGGGGCGGCGGTGCCAGGCCCCGGGATCTGCCCTGCCTGCGGGCCCGGGCTCCCCGCACGGCCGCCATCTGGGTCCCTGGGGCGGGGGTGCCATCCCGGGATCTGCCCTGCCTGCGGGGCGACAGCCGCGGTCGCTGGGCCCCGAGTTCTCAGCCCCGGCGTCCCTGCGAGTGCGGGGCCTGCGGCTGTGGGGGTGTCCGCATGCGAGGGGCGTGCAGCCTTGTAAACCAGCTCGAGACCCCGGGGCGGCTTTCCTCCGAAACCCCGGCTGCGCGGGTCGCCCCTGGCGTACACCCCCCCCCCGGCGGAGCGGAGACCCCGGAAGGAAGGTTTTGGAAACGAGGGAAGAACCGGGACTTTGCGGCCGGCTGGGGCGGGGGGACCCTGCCGTCCGGGCCGCGAGGGGCGGGCCCGCTCCGGAAAGCTCCATTTACCGACAGCTCTGACCGACGCCCCCCGCCGCCAGAAAGGGCGAGCGCCGGCGCCATTCCTGGCTTAACCTATGACCTTTCGGCTCAAAGAGCCCGTATGCGCTGTGGAAAACGGGCGCGCGAGCCCAGGCCGCGGTTTCGCCCTTCAACTTTCCGCGCCAGTTTTGACGTCTACTCCCCGATTGGCCCGCGAGAGGGCAGGCTCCGCCCCCGACCCCCCCGGTTCCCGGCAGGGCGCCACGCCCACTTGCGGTCACGCCTACTTCCGCCGCCGCGGCCACGCCCCCGCGGGGGGTGGGGCGGGCTTCCCGCTGGTGCGTGGCCGGGAGGCAGCGGACGATGGCTCCGGTACTGGGCGGCGCCGCACCTGCCGGACGCCTGCAGCGCGCTCGCCGCCCCGGCCCGGCCGCAGCTGCCGCAGGCCGCTGGGGAGTGAACCTTTCCCCTACCCTCTCAAATAAACAATATTTTAAAAGAAAACTGAAAGACCGACGATAAGTATTCCCTCACGTCCATACTCGAATGTCCCGAGTTGTTTCCTGTTTAGGATTTGTCGGATGCTGCATCCTATCCAGGGTCTGTTTTGTGTTTGGTTGTATCTTTTTTAAGTCTCTTTTCTTTTTCTTTCTTTATTTGAAAGGCAGAATGAGAGAGGGGGAGGCAGGTCTTGCACCTGCTGGCTCACTCTCCAGACGGCAGCAATGGCAAGGCGCCCCCCCCCCCAACCCGGGTCTCTCACGGCTGGCAGCGGCCATCCGCTGTCTTCCCCAGAGCAGGCACAGGGACTGGGAGCAGAGCAGCCGCGACTCCACCGGCCAGCGTTCACCGCCGGGGCTTACCCCGCCGCCTCCTGCCGCCGTCCCTCCTCGGCCTCCTATGATTGAAATCCCCCTCCTTTCCCCCACAAGGCCGACTTTCCCAAGTCCGCCGGTTTCCTTGCAGAATGTCCCAGATTCTGCATTTGCCTGGCGGTTCCTACCCCCGTCCCCGGCTATAAACAGGAAGTTGGGTCTGAAGGCGTTGTTAGGTTCAGGTTAAGTTATTCACAGGAAGACCTCACAGGAGGTGAGAGAATGAAAACTGGAACCCAGGTCTGAGTAATCCTGGGCGCCTGCAAACCACGCAGCCCTGTGCCGCTATGGAAAAAACGCTTTGCTACCGGCAGATGCCGCTCTCGGCCGGGAGACCTTGGCTGCTGGGGAAACCGGCCCCCAGGATGGCGGCCAGGGCGCCCCGCTGGGCTCACAGCCTCACTCTGGGCCAGGCTGTGTGGCTGGCAGGAGACTGGAGCCGGCCGCACGCGAGAATGAGTCGTGGGTGGCGTCCCCCCCCCCCCGATCGTCCCCCCGGGTGACACGGGACACACAGGCAGCCTGGCGTAGAGGCCCCTGCTCACAGCCAGCACCAGCGACGGTCACAGGAGAGGGCACTTCCGTGCGGGTCTCCCAGCCCCAGCGAGGCCACGGGAGCGAGCCCAGCCCGGAGCCGCCCAGACAGGACTCTGCGGACTTCCTGCCGCCCCCAGCTCTGAAAGTGTACAAAGATTTGTGCTTTAAATTGTGAATACACGTAAGGCTACCTTGGCCACTTCCACTGTGCGATGGATGGCGTAAAAGGCATGAACCTCGCTGCCCGGCCACCACCGCCGTCCACCCAGAGCTTTGCCCAGCCCGGACCTCTGTACCGTGGAGCTCACTCCCCCGACTCCCTCCCACCACCCTCTCTGCCCACCACCCCTGCAAATGTGACTCCCCCAGGTGCCTGGTGTAGACGGGGCCCCAGCCGTGGTCTCTCTTCTGACTCATCTCCCTTAGCGTGGTTCCGACGTTCATCTGCGCTGTGACATGGGGGGGGGGGGTCCTTCCTTCTGGGGGCTGCGCGATGCCCACCACGTGCTCAGTGCACATATGTTCAGGGCTTTTCCCTTCTGCTACCCACCCGCCCCTCCCTCGTGGGGTCCTCTGGCTTCCCAAGCACTAACGGCCCAGGGAAGTGTGCGGCCAGCCTTCTCAGGCCCCTGATCATCCCGGTCTCTGAACTGGTCGGTCCCCTGGTGGCTGGAGCATGGCTTGGCCGCGGCACGCTGAGAGCCAGCCAGCGAGCTGAGGGTGAGGTTGGCCGGCCTCCCGCTGACCCCTTGGTCACCACTGTCTCCCCTCTCCCCCCAGGGCCTGACCACAGGGCCTTTGCATGCTCTGGTCTCCCTGCTGTCACTTCTCCGTACTCCCCCCCACCCCATCCGGGCCCCGTCTGAAGGCTTTTCCCACGGATCGACTTGAACAGTAAGAATTCCAGGCCGTTCCTCACGACCAGCCCAGCTTCCTCTTGGCTCATTACTGAATGACTTTTGCTTTAACACCGCCTGCCCTGGAAAGGGAGGTCACCTTTCTTATTTTCCTTTTTTAAGATTAATTTTATTTATTTGCAAGGCAGACTGAGAGAGAGAAAGAGGTCTTTCTGCTGGTTCACTCCGCATATGACCACAGCAACCAGGACTGGCCCAGGCCCAAAGCCCGGAGCCTGGAACTCCATCCGGGTCTCCCATGAGGGTAGCAGGGGCCCGAGCACTTGGTGCACCCCAGGAACATTATCAGGGAGCTGGATCGGGAGTGGAGCAGCCGGGACTTGAATGGGGGCGTCCCACGTGGAGGCTTAAGCCACGGCGCCACCCCAATGGCCCTGGGCTCCCCTTTCTCAAAAGGGGCAGAGGGGAGGGAACAGCCAACGGGAAAGGAAAGTCATTCGGAGCTGGCGACACGTGCAGATGGAGGCGAAGCTCCCCCAGCCGCTGCCACCACCCAGGCATTTTAGCTGATCTGTAACCAGGAGGTGCCGGGTCAGCGGCTGCTCCTGAGCTGCGAGGTAGAACTTCCCAGAGCGTAGCTGCTTTCAGAGAGATCAGTGTGGGAGTCAGGGGGGAGTCCCCTGTGACCGCTCACTGGGTGACCTTGGACAAGTCACTGGGCCTTAGTGACGCGGTGAGCTTGGTGGTCCGACCTCAGGGCTCAGTGTGGGGCAGGGTGTGTCAGGCTCAGCCCTCTGCACCCCGCACCCACACCCCGTGGTCTCCTGTTACAGAAAACTTCAGCGGCTTGTCCATGGCCTACTTCTGTCCATTTCCTGGCCCCACCCCCCACAGCCCTGTTGAGTGCCGGCTTCATCTCCTTCATCTCGTTGTTCTTCGAGGCGTGAAAATGACCATTGCAATTCAAAGCTCTCTCTCTGTGGACAGCAAACTCTGTTCTTCATGATAACTGTCCATCAGGGCTGGGGAACTTGCTTCTTCCGAGGGCCGTTTGGATATTTATAACATCATTTATGGGGCACGCAAAATGATCCCCTTAAAAATCAACCTGGCCATCGCCGCGGCTCACTAGGCTAATCCTCCGCCTGCAGTGCCGGCACCCAGGGTTCTAGTCCCGGTTGGGGCACCAGATTCTGTCCCGGTTGCTCCTCTTCCAGGCCAGCTCTCTGCGGTGGCCCGGGAGTGCAGTGGAGGATGGCCCAAGTGCTTGGGCCTCTGCACCCCATGGGAGACCAGGAGAAGCACCTGGCTCCTGATCGATGCAGCGCCGGCAGCGGTGGCCATTTGGGGGTTGAACCAATGGAAGGAAGACCTTTTTCTCTGTCTCTCTCTCTCACTGTCTAACTCTGCCTGTCAAAAAAAAATAATTCTCAAAAAAGAAAAATCAGCCCGCTGTAGGTTTATTGCACTCCGGGTCCCACCCATGGTTGCCGCAGCAGGGGCAGACCCTGTCTCTGGTCTACACAGAGACCCGAGCCATCAGCACGGCTGTGTCACATCCATACAGAGCTGCACTGAT